AATTCCCACCTCAGCATTGGCTCCATTCTACTGATCACGTGAGTCATTTGAAGAGCTGTTTGTGCCTGAGTCATAATCTCCAGTGTTATTTTGAAACGTAGCAAATGCTATAGTAAGACTAAATGACTGCAGTATACTTTCCCACAGACACCGTTAGATGCTACTATGCCTCTGAGCTTTTTGGACAAAAGCTCTTGCACAAGGCACGATGCAGGGCTGGTCTGTTCCCATAAACATTTTCCTTCATAGCTTACAGACAAGTGCACTGAAGCATGGGAGATTTGACTTCCTAAATTGTATGATGGCTCTTTGCCAGAGCTGGGAACTCAGACCAGGAGTCTTGACTTGTTTTCTGTGCTTGTGCTTAGAGGCACTACTTCACATAATGCTGCTAAAAGATTTATACAAGCAGATTGATAACTTGGGGACCTTTTATGGTCTGGTTTCTGTTTATAGCTCTATTCTTGAATGGTGCTAGCATTGTTCCAATGCTAATGTGAGGCAGGTAGCTGGCTTGGAAGAGATTTTCTGTAGGATTTCCTCAGCTTTGATTTTCCTTTTGTTTCTTAATTCTTCCTTTTAGGTTTGTGTCACTGATTGCAGTATACATTATTGGTGGCTTCCTCTACCAGCGCCTCATTGTGGGAGCAAAGGGCATGGAGCAGATTCCTCACTTTGCCTTCTGGCAAGATTTGGGCAATTTGGTGGCGGTGAGTAAAAATTCTTATGTATTCGCAGCCTGGCGCATGTTAGGAGAAAATGGCACTGACTCTGTGTTTTGGGTAGACCTGCCATCAGGGTGGAGTACCTTGAAGCAGAAGAAGAGGGTATCTGTTTCCTGAGTATGCCATTTTTTAATCCTTGCTGAGACTAATTACCCACCTCTGTCCTGCTACATAATAAACTAGAACATGTGCTCCTCAGGAGTTAACACTTTTCAGGTAGAAATGTTCACCTGGGGACTGTGAAATGCTTATTTTGGACTTGGTGAGATCTTTCCTTGGTCATGGTGGGCAGTGCTATTTACCCTCATACTTGCCTTGGCCTGATGTTGCTGCATAACTGTCCAGAGTTTTTAAGACTGAGTAGAATGTTTTTATGTCAAGTTTTGGGGAGCTGTTTTGGGTAGCACAAGGATAGGCATAATCTCTTAGCCAAAGAGAAATGGCAGGAGCTGCTGTGGTTTGGATGCTGAGTCAACTGCAAACAGTCTGATGCTGGTGCTGTGTCCTGTGCTCGTAGGATGGCTGTGACTTTGTGTGCCGATCCAAGCCCCGGAACGCGCCAGCCGCGTACCGCGGCGTGGGGGATGACCAGCTGGGAGAGGAGTCAGAAGAACGGGATGACCACTTGCTGCCCATGTGATAGGCTTTCCATACCAAGATCTTTTCTCCCCATCTCCCCAGTGCTTGTTTAGCCAGGTGCCTCCCAGCCAGTTCTCCTTCTCTCACTTCTGATTTTCTTTACATTGTTTGCTTCTGCTGTCTCCAGTGTGTCAAGTCCCATGGATGCCTCTGGATGTGAACAGCACTGGTTCCTAATGGCATGTCTTATAAATACGATGCTGGCTTAGGTTTTAAAACTGCAGCAGAGCTCAGGGGAGAAGAATTGACAGTTGAGCAGGAAACAGCAATATGAGTGTTCAGCACTGAACAGGAATGGGAGGTAAATCACTAAGAGGAAAAAAGAGGCATGGATGGGTGCAGAACGGGAAAAAAGCTATGGGTTAAAGCAGCTGCCACTGTAAAAGGGATATTTTGTGTCTTTTTAATTTTTTCCCTAGGGTTTACAGGATCTGTAAGACACTGGAATTACTTTCCTTTGAATGCATCTTCAGCTTTTCTAGCTTCTGCATTTCTTTCTTTATGTTGTATAGCGTAACTGGCACAGAGTGCTCTATGCCAGACTCTGGGGGTGAAGAGGCATTAGCACCTCTGCAGCCTTTCGCTTCCCTAATGGCAGAGTGGTGTGTACTTCTCAAGTACAGTTTCTCAGTTTCCTTCAACAGCTGTAAAGGGATGCATGCCATTCTCTCAGACTGGAGAGGGGTACTGCTAAAAAAACATAGGAGTTAAATGGAGTCACATGACTTCAGTCAAAATATTGACTCAGTCTTCTCAATCAGTGAGAAGCAAAAGGAAGAGATGTGCTGCTAAGGAAAAGGAACATTTGCTTAAACTGAAAGCGACATCAAGACAAAATGAGACAGGTAGCTGCCACTTGAGTTCTGACATAATCTTCCTGAAGTGACTGCCCACACACCTCAGTCACTGTCAGTATTGTGATTTCGTGTTCTCCAGAAGTTCCTTGTTTTGGAGAGGGTTTTCCTACAAAGCTGTCAGAATTTATTTTTGTATCAAATGAACCATGGAAGCCCGGGCTAAGAATGTTAACACACTGAGAACTGCATAAGGGACTCTTACATGGCCAGCTTTCATAAATCACTGTCCCCTTAAGCATGGTGCAAGCCAGTCTTAAGACACTTGCCCTGTGCAAATGGTACTTAACATACTGCCACTGGCTGGGAGTGAGAAAGACCTCTTTGGGCCCTGGTGAAAAGCAGGTACAGTTGAGCTGCAGATTTAATGGGAACCTTCAGGAACTTTGCACCTCGATTCTGAATTGCTTTTTATTTGAGAGGCTGGACTCTGAGCAATCCCATTCTACCCCACTGTAGACTGGCAGAGAACTGCCCTCAGTCCAGGGGGCACAGACTGTGAATAACTACTATGTTAACAGCAGAGTACAGACGAGGTTCATGTATTTTTAAGACACTGAGAGAAAAGGGGTGGCCCTGCTTTCTTTCTGGGTTTGGAGTGGGCAAGCAATTCCTGCTTTCTTTGACTTTTGTTACAGTCTCAATCTTTCTGGTAACATGGGAAAAATAGGAAGTCAGTAAAGTCTGTTACTGTTTTCATGGTGGTGTCTAAGGTAATTTTTTTTGTACAAAACACAACTTTAAAAAATAAAGTGACCAAAAAACCTGGTGAAGTGTTGTGCTGTTGTAGGAAGAGCTTGCTTTGGTGCCAGAGCACCAAACTCACTTTCTCATCTGAAAGTAAAGGGTCCTTAGTGTGTGGTGCCTTGTGCCTGAACCCATACCAGTAATGGAACATGTTTTTTGTTTTAGTTCATGGTTTTTGCTGCCACCTTGTTTTACTCCAGGTCCTCTCCAGCCTACAAGGGAAGGCTATCCACATCTTTCAAAACTGAAACTGTAGAGGCTTCGGGTAGTTACGGATGGATGGATTACGCTCTATTTTTCTACAGGAATGGCAGTCAAAAATTACTGAGTGATAAAGTTTGTACTTTGCAAACACTTGAGGTGAGGGTTAAAAAGCAGCCAGACCTGCAAAGCCTGATTAAGCATTTTTTTATTAAGAACATTGAACATGAAATGAAGAAGTGAAGCCTTCCCATTTGACTGAAATAAAATCCAGTCCTCAGGAGTAGCTGGTAACAGTGACAGGCTACCTGCCTACCTACCCTGCCAAGGGTCAAACTAAACAGGAGTTTTATCACACCCAGCCCGCTAAAGATAAAATGGTTTAAGGGCAGCCTTCCTCTGCTCACTGCTGATTCTAACCTCCCCCTCCCTTGTCCCCAGATTACATCAGACCAAACTGTACCAGGGTGCAAGCGAGCATGGGCAGCTTCCTTTGGGCCTATTTGCATTCACAAAGCCTCAGAAGTCTTCTCACACGAACAGGGACATCACAGAAGTGAGATTCAGCAGCACACTTAAGACTAGGAAGCTGCTGCCACATTTTATCCATCTACTAAGTATTTTCCTTCTTCTTTTTCTAACGGGTCAAGAAAGAGCCCATTTCAAAGATCTCTAATGTTTTCCTACCTATGCTATTAGGCTTTCTCCCATGCTATTACAGCTTTCCTGCAACAGTAGGTGCTTAACACAGAGAACAGTCTTATGTTTCACTCAAATAGTCATGTGAAACTTCTGAAAAACAGAAAAGCTGAGATACATGGTTTATAACACCATCTTGCTTTCAGGTATTTGGCTCTAGAGGGCACTTACCTCTTCACAGTTTGTGCAACTCCTTCAGGTGTTGTGCCTGTTTGAAGCAGAGGTGCTTGTGGAAGAGAATAACTCTGCCCAGGTTTTCACCTTTGGCAATTTGGCTACAAAACTGCAGAATACCACATTTGGTTCTTAAAAAAAAAACAAAAAACAATCATAGAACCCCTAACCAAACCTGGAGGGGCTGAGTGGGAGAAAAATCAGCCTAAAACATAAATTCTACCCTTCAGAAATGAGAACTCACATTAAAAGATTAGTATTCAGTTCTTATAGGGTGTGTGTTTGGTATCTTGTAACTGAGAAATATTTGTTTTACAACAAACAAACAACCAAAAAAAAAAAAAAAAAAGGCTG